TTCATAGAGATTGAATTATCCATGACCAACGAAATCCGCGATGCTGAACTTTTTTTGAGTTTTTTAGAAGCAAACCAATACTTATCCACCATTAAAGTGTTGCTTCAAAATCAATCTGTATGGGATATTGTACGTAGGAATATTAAATCACCATGGACAGTTATTAAATTTCTTCCTGTAGGAATAGTTTATGGGAATAGACCGAAATATGAGTATTATATCAAGTGTATCAACGGATCCATGCGAAAAGAAACATAAGCATATTCGTTTACATTCAATAGTTTGATATTTCAATATTGATTTAAAAATTATAAAACCGAATTAAAAACTATTCGATTTGATTTATCAAACAAATAAACAGAAAAAATGTTACTTTTGAAATAAAAATTCAAGCGAGCAATTCGTGGTGGAATGATAAAATTTAAACTTGTTTTTTTTTTCATTGAATTGTAACTTAGGCTCAGTTGAAAAATCAGTTTTCAATCCGAATTGCCGGCAAAAATATAAACTTGCTTGAAACGAGTTTGTTATCATTCAGCATGTTTCATGGGTTTGTATATGGTATGAAATGTCAGTGGCGAGAAAAAATACCTCATGCTGTCATTTGACAGTTCAGTCGCATTAAACATGTCAAACTTAAGCACATGAACAAAGTGTGCTACGAAATTTAGTTTGCGTAAATTGAGTTTTTTTTCTCGCAATTTTATATCGTAAAATTAGTTACTACAGTCAACAACAGAAATGGCAGACAAAAATAAGCAGAAAATTGAAAAAGTCGACACTTCGGACGGGTCGGGTGATAACGAAAATCAGGTGGAACTAACTACCTCAGTGCATCAAATCAAAGATGTGCCCATCGAAAAATTCACAAAAGTAAGTCGTTGTTTTCGGCAAATTTTTACTTTTCAATCGCATTTTTAAGAATATTTAATGGTGTTTTTTATCCTTTTTTAAAAGGACGGAATGGCATTGATCGTCGACGCAACCAAATCCACAAATGCATTCCCATCGAATGCATCACGGAACCTGTACTCGGCATATCCCGCATTCAATAAAGCCGTTCAACGACATTCGGATCACATTTTGTCGATAATCTCAAAAGTGGTGAAATTGCAGCATATTAAGGGCAATATTCAACGGTAAGACTGCATAATGAAATGGTAAATGACTTGATAACTTAGTTCGTCTCAATAATTATACTCTTGTAGGCGTGATAATGATGAGAAAATGGAACTGCTGCAAGAATGCAATGATGTGATGTTGGAGCGAATCAATTCGAACTTGGATTTTTTGGCTGGAATTCGTCAGAATATCGAACCGATACTGGTTGAAACGGAAATTAGCACGGCACCATCGACACCGAAGCAAAATGCCGGCGCCAGTAGTGGTGGTAGTTGGAATGAGAATCGAAAAACACCGAGCTCAGCACAAGGCATTACTGCCAAGTAAATATCAAATTGCAAATAAAAAACATTTCCAGACGAATTTAATAACTAAACAAAATATTCTCTTGCAGATTGCTGACCGCACGAAATATCATCCGTCCGCAGATTAATTTTAAAACACCTGTCGATAACAGTGTAAACACACCATTTATACCTCAGTTGAAGTATAAGCCACATTCACTGAAACCATTGGCTATTTTGCCAGAATATGACGATGATGGAAACGTCGAAAGTTATTTGCATCCATACGAATTTGAGTTGAGCAAATTCACACCGAATCAGTGGCAACTAGCAAAAGGAGCCGTCACAGAGCCGAAAGAATTGTCGAAAACGGTTTTAATGTATGTCGAAAAGGAAAGTGATTTGAATGTTATGGTGAAAGAATTGCAAGAGGCAAAAGAGATCGCAATCGATGTAGAGCACCATTCATACCGAACATTTCAGGGGATAACTTGTTTGCTGCAATTATCTACCCGCACAAAAGACTATATTGTTGACACGTTGGCTCTGCGCGAAGAGCTGCACCTTCTTAACGAGGTAACTGCCAATCCGAAGATTGTGAAAGTGTTCCATGGTGCCGATAGTGACGTGGAATGGTTACAACGCGATTTATCCATTTATATTGTGAATATGTTTGATACTCATCAAGCATCAAAGCGTCTCGGCTTCGCACGACTCTCGTTGGCATTTTTACTCAAGCATTATTGCCAGATCGATGCGGATAAATCACTTCAATTGGCTGATTGAAGAATGCGACCATTGCCAGCCGAACTGATCGCATACGCACAACAAGATACACACTATCTGCTGTATATTTACGATTTGCTCCGTAATGAATTGATTGCCAAAGCAAACGGCAAAACCAATTTGCTATTGACGGTTTACAAAGCCAGCACAGACATTTGTATGAAGCGTTACATAAAGGTTACGATAAAACCCGATTCACACTTGGAAATGTACCGAAAATCGAAACGCATTTTCGACAACCGGCAATTCTTTGCGCTGAAAGAAGTGTACAAATGGCGAGACTCTATTGCACGAATGGAGGATGAGAGTTATGCGTATGTTCTGCCAAATCACATGATGTTGCAAATCGCTGAGAATCTACCGAGAGAAATGCAAGGGATTTTGGCATGTTGCAACCCAATTCCACCGTTGGTCAGACAACATTTGCACGTTTTGCATCGATTCATTTTACAAGCACGTGAACAACCGTT